ATAATATAGGTATGGTCAAAGTTGATGTTAGACCTGTTTATAGTAAACTATGCGAAGGAGAAGGTAATTCATATTGAGTTTTATTGTTCTGGACTTCATCAGGATTTGGGCCATTAGAAGATGTCCATTACTCTTCAGCTTTTTATCCCCCAAAGGTGCCAGGGCACAGGAGCCACTCCTGTGGTTGCTATGGACCCTTCATCAGCCAGTTCACAGTTTTCCTTTGTCAGTCCAGGGGCCTGAGGCTGGATGCTCAGAGGGTGCTGTTCTGCCCTGCTGACTCTTTCTACTGGGTGCAGGAGTATAGGATACAGGAATCAGGGCTGTTGCCCTCCTCAGGGCCCTCTTCAAGTTGGCATAGAACCTGGTGGCTGTCTGCAAGCTCAGGACTGGTGGAGTTGGGCTTTCCATGGTAGTCTGTGGTGTAGAAGTGTCCCTGCCCTGACCAATGCAGATCACCTGGGCTGTGGCCTATGCCTGCAAATCTTGGGTGTAGTGCCCTTCTTCTGCCTGGGACTGAGTCAGCTGCCTGTCAAGGAAAACTACCAGGGGTTGTGCATCTCAGGCATCTACTCCCATCTCTTCCCAAGCTGCTGCAGAGGTCATGTGAAGCTCTGGGTTAGGTTAGCAGTTCCTGGGAGTGACCAGATCTCAGATCCCCACTCTGCTATCCACAGGGAGGGGGAGGGATTTGCAGCAACTTTCATCTAGTAGCCATTCCTCTACAAATTCCTTCCAGACAGATGATTGAGACATTCCACTGCAGAGGTTCTCCCTCTGGTTTTATTTGTTGCTATCTGAAGGTGGGGAGAAGCTATGTTGACTTAATTCCTTCTAGGAATGTTGACCAGCTGTGATTTCCACAAAATGACTTCCATGCCCAGCATGGCCTTCAGCTCACAATTTGGGTTAGACTGCTGTCCTCCACTGCTTCTGCCATGCTTTGATTTGGTCTGGTTTTCTTTCTGCCCCTGTTAAGGAGGTGAGTTTATGTGCTGTTCCTCTTTCTTTCTCTCTCTATTGCCCCTCTCCCCTTATGGGTTTGGGTTAAGCAACTCTGTCCTTGTTTTCTTCTCCAGTAACCAAACTTCAAGTGTCTCCAAACCTCAGACTGTCCAGTATTGACTCTTAGAGCATTGACTCTGTCCTCCACATTTCTGGTCAGCTGTTTTTTCTCTGCCTCCTTTCTGGATTGTGGAAGGGTCAGGGTTCATAACCTACCTCTGCTTTATAGTGAGATTTAATAGGTTGATA